GCCGGGCGGTTTGACCCAGATCAGACTCGTGCCGAGAGGATGTCATCCATGGTTATGCGCCTCAATGAAGAGGCAGAAATGGATGTACAACCCGAGCGCGGGGTCGACGACTTAAGGCGATTCGAAGAGTCCGAGCAGTCTGATGTGTCTCTTGAGGACTCGAGAGGCTCAACGAACACCCCAGCCTGGTGCCAGGGCTGAGAATCAGATCCAGCCCTCCGAGTAAGCAAAGTGCAGCTGAGCGCGAGTGCCTGAATTATGTTCTAATGCCCAGACGCATTGAAACTTTAGCGACCGATTCAATTGCCGACTTGCGCCACATTGCCTAGGCGAAACGGCGAAATTGTCAGGACCCTTCCGCAGTTTTGCTGATCGGAGTGCCATGGCAGCACTATGTTAGAGTCTGAGGCCGAGTTTGCGGCACGGGCTCGCCAGATTAACGAGGCTCTATTCTCGGCCATCCAGGGGGCCGGCATCAAGACTTTCGAGCTGGCGTACATCTGCGCGGTCAGCCCCAGAGCGGAGATGATACTCCCCTTCTGGAAGCGGTCGAGAAGCTACTTGGGAGGAGGCTTGAGCCGGCCAAGGTTCGCCTTTGGTACGAGGCGAGGGCAGGGTCATGTCAAAAAAATTGTTTATGAACTTGAAGTAGCGTCAGGGACCTTTTCGCAGGCCCGAGCACCCGCCCACTGTCCCCAGTCCTGCCCTGCTCTTTTTGCAAGGCATGTCCAGCTGCGAGAATGCTTTGAGTTGAGCAGCAGCATAAGCAGCTGAAGCACAGAAAGGGCCCTTGCGGGTCCCCAAACGAAACTTGGCTGATCGTAAGGGCCTGGGCGAGGGCACTCCTAAGGCTTCGAGACGACTCGATATCGGAAGCTGCTGGGCTCGGCTGGCGGTGCCACACGGAATCCCACAGAGGATCACAGAGGTTTCATCTGGTGAACTAAATCGTCTATAAGGTGCTGTGTAGAGAGAGTGCTCAGGTCAATGGGCAAAAAGGAAACCTTCAGTTCAAACCGATTGCTGTGATAATCAATGAGATACACTTGCCATTTGCGAGGAGGCTACATGAGACAGAACGGCCAAGCCACAGCATAGCTCCACGAAAATTGCAAAAGGGGGGCGCGTCTGTGGAAAAGCGTCCCGGAGGACCTAGTCACAAGTGACGGCACTTGTAGTACGGCACCTCTTTCTTCAAGTAGTCCTTGTGCCAGTAGTGGTGGAGGCCTCGATCACGGTGCCTTGTTCTGCTGGCTGTGGACACTTGCCGTGCTGGAAGAGAACGCAAAGGAACTGTCTGGTTTCAGGCATGCGGGATACGCAATCCTTGGGATCTTCTTGAGGAGCTGCAGGATCTCGGCACGCTTGGGGTCAGGGTTGCTCTGGTCGAACTTGCCCTGGTTCTTGTCTCCTTGGCCTTTCCATTCTTACCCTTGCAAAGGTGTTTGAAATCTCCAGTCTGACTCAATCCTTGGACTTGCGACGCCTGCTACCACACTCAGTTTTGGCACTTTGCACGGTACATTTTGATCTTTCATGGCATATCATTTGTGGATCACACATCTTTGGTTGGGAAGGGTCAGCATTTGTGGGGTTTTTGCTGCATACAAACAAGGCTTCAAGCTAGTCTTTCGTAGTTATTCTCCAAAAGACCTGAAACCAAATACATGTTATGACATGTTTTAAAAGTTTCAAATCTACATGTTATTGCTGTTTTGTAGCAATTCGCCTGCATGTTTGTCTGTGTTGAACTCTTTGTTTTCGGTCACCGGACTTCATGTCACCAAAAGCATGTTTTTGGAGCTTTGCTGCTGACACCCACGGCCAAAGCTTTTTTTTGGACTCTACAGCACTATGTTTTTTGAATTGAAGCGGTGCGGCGAGCTGACGCCAAAAATCGGGCAGTCTTTGGGTTTGTAGTGGTTCTGGATTGTTCGCCTCGAACACCACAAGCTTCGAATCCTTGGTCTAAGTTGTACAAGTATGGGCTATCGATGCCTTTAGGCTTTATGACTGCCTACTACCAAAGGCAAAACATGGCCCAGGGTCTAACTTCAGCCTTTCCCTGAGCATAACAGAGCACCGCTGTGACAACCACCTCATCCAGTAGGAAGTCATAGAAGCTAACCAATTCCGTATTTTCACAAGAACTTTTATCTCAGGTAAAAGTTTGGGTTAACTAACCCAGAACCTGAGGTTGGGGTTGGAGTTAACCCGAACCCCAACTCCAATCTGTGGTTAGAGTTGGGGTTTACTCCAACCCAGCTCAGATTGGAGTTTTGGAGTTCAGTTTGATTCTTTTTCGGTTGAACCCAGATTGGAACCCAGGTTTAAACTCCAAAAAAGAGAAAGTAAATCTTGATCAAATCTTGCTTCAATTTTCCGCCTGCTGGTTTGGTTTTCCATGTTACTTTATTCTATTAAAAAAAAAATTCTTCCTTCGTGGAAAAATTAGCTTGCATGTGAATCTGTCGGCGGGTGTGATGGAATTCTTGGCCGTTGCAGCCTTTTTCCCTCTCGAGGTGATAGGCAAGAAATTCTTTTTGCCTCGGGGCCAGTAGTCGCTTCCTAGAAGCCTGCAGGTGCTAACGGCAAGGCTTTAGTGACTGCACCGTCCCCCCCGCCCGAGAGGGGGCACCAGATAGATTCGCCCCGCGCGTCGGTGTCTGAAATCACAGAGCTGAAGCTTCGAGTTTCCCGCTTGGAGGCTCAACGCGCCGCCCTGCAGGCCTAGCTTCAAGCCTCTCTTGGAGTCTGAACGTCGGGCTGCCTCAGCTTTTCAGCCTCGGCAGCTCAACCCGTCTCCGACTTTTGATTTGCTGCGTCATCGTCTGCTGCATTTTGAGGGTTGCTTCCAGTTTTTGGTGCAGTGCAGGCTTTGTCTCGAAGGTTTCCAGACACGCTTTGGCAGTCTCTCCAGGAAGCATAGTCATAGTCCTCCATGGCTGCCTTTCATATGGAACAACTGCAGCTGCGCTTGCAATCCGGCAGCAACCCCTGTGTGGAACCGTATCCGCTAGATGTTCCGGCACCCATTTCGCAGCCGCCTGCGCCTTTAGCCTCAGATCTTCAGTGGGGTGGTGAGGCAGCTGAGGCTTCGGAGCAGGGTGAGGATTATCCGAGTGCACCGTTGAGGTCTCCCTCGATGGAGTCTCATTTGGATGGGCGAAGCTTGGGTCAGTCTTCTAGAGTGGTTCTAGCTGAGCCACCCTTGGAAGATGATTCTCGAAGTGCTGTCTTGGAGCCGCTTGAGGCGGCCGCTGCAGCTTTTAGAGGTGAGCTCCCCGTCCCCTTGGGTTTAGGCCACGCACCCTCTTCCGCCCGTAATGATTTGGATTCAGAAGATAATCCTTTGGCAGACCTGCTAGACTCCGAATCGCATTGGTGGGACCAGGTGCGGGATCGAAGTCAAGCACCAACTTCGCTGCCTCTGCCTGACCCTCTTGCAGGCCAAAGGATCGATTTCGAATCTGCTCTCAGGAGTGCTTGCCAGGTTCCCCTGGCCTCGTCCGAGCCCGAGGGTTTTGCCCAACCGTGGGACGAGGGGGTCTTTGGGGTCATCTTTGGGGGTAAAGACTTCTTAGATTTTCCTGTCGCCAAACTGAGCCCTACGTTTTTACCAGGAGAAGGAAGCCAGTCGTCCGAGGTTGTGGAACTGCCATCCAAGCGCCTCAAGGTTTCTCAGAAGGATGTTTCCTTTTGCAGAGTGGATTCTTGAAGGCAAGGCCCCTTCCACCATACTGAAGCGCGCCAGGGCCCTTATCTTGTTGCAGGATTTTCTTAAGGAAAGGGACTCAGTCTTCCCCTGTGCGGAAGAGGAAGTTTATCAATTCTTGAAAGTCTTGGAAAGGGACAAGGCTCCGAAGAGTCGAATAGCTTCTGTCATGGAAGCTTTGAATTTCACACTTCATGTGGTCGGCGTGTCGGAGCTGCAAGGGGTTTGCCAGAGCAGGCGATGCAAGGGCTTGTGCATCACGGAGTGCTTCACTGAGGCGAAACACGCCCCTCCGCTAACCGTGGACCAGCTTTCAAAGTTGCATGCTGTGCTCGAGGAGCATGCGGATCCTTGGACCCGCCTCTTCGCCGGTGCAGCATTGGTTTGTGCTTATGCGAGGTGCAGGTGGAGCGATGTACAGCATACAGAAACAGTCATTTGGGATTGAATGCTGAGTCTGAACTTGCCTACATCGAGCTGAGGATCGGGCTGCATAAGACTTGTAGGTTGCAGAGCAGGCGCCACAGGTTTTTGCATGCAGTGGCTCCCGCACTGGGCATTCGGCCCTACGGCCATCTGTGGAAGCAGTGCCGCGAGCAGCTGGGGGTTAAGGAGAGTGGTGCCTGTCCATTCATGCCGGCGCCCGACGCTCAGGGGCAGCCTACCATCCGTGCTTTGGATTCAGACGAGGCTACAGCTTGGTTGAGGATGCTGTTTAGTCAGACGAAAGTTTGTGACGACGCATCATCAAAATCGCTGAAAGCAACCGTCATATCTTGGGCGGCCAAGAGAGGAGTGGAACCTCTTTCCTTGCAGAGGCTCGGCTACCACGCATCAGGTGGGATCGACATAGTGTACAGTCGTGATGCTCAGGCCCCGCTAGTGATGTTAGTTGAGCGATTGCTGAGGGAGGTTGCCGAAGGATCTTTCAAGCCGGATGATACCAGGAGCGGCCGGATTGTGACCACAGGTGCTGTGTCTCTCGTGCAGCCGGTTCAGCCGGTCGGCTCAGAGTTGGCTGAGGGCCGAACCGTAACCCCAGGCAGTGCGCCCCAGGCCCGTCTGCCGTGCAAGGATGAGCATTTGCCTGGCTCCGAGGGCGATGCAGGGACGGTGCAGGTTGACAGTGATTCTGAGGGGCTCGCTTCGGAGGGTGAGTCCTTTGAATCTTCGGACGAAGACGAAGGACAGCCGATTGCATTGGTAGCCCAGGGCCATCTGGTGCCACCAGGTTTCGATGTTTGGAGGCACGACTCCTCGGGGGTGGCTCACCTGGCGCCCAGGGCACATTTTAAGAACTTGTTTGCTTGCGGGCGGAAAGTAGGCTCCAAGCATTTTAAATCGACCGAGGCGTCATTAGGCGCGGACGATTTTCCTTGCAAATTTTGTTTCCGCAGGTAGATTCGTGATTTGTCACGCAGGGCAAAATGAGGTGACGGCGGCTCATGGTACGGCGGTCCCATTCCCGGGCGACAATTCAGGAGGTTCCTCCTTGAGTTCGCCGGTGAGTGATCGCCCGCATGCTGACCGTTGACGGTGAGTCATGCCCTGCAAGTCCTGTCGATTTGTGCAATGAGCGATTCGTCGACATGGGAGTGCATGATGGCCTACCTCATTCCTTCCTCGTGAAGTGAGAGGTGGGGCCGAGCCATCCTTGATTCTTCGTGCAAGGTTTGGCTCTGTGACTGGCAAAAGCATTCACTAGTAGAGGTGATCGTTTGGACATCTTTCATGATTGATCGTTTGGACATCTTCTTTTACAGCTGCCAGCTGTTTCTGTGCATAGACTTGAGACGTGCAAGTGTTACTTCCAACTGCCAGTTGGTAGGGCGAGAGTGTGCACCATGGCGTTGATCACATCAGAAGCTGCCTTCTTGCAGAGATGCACCGAGGTGTCTCCAGACGGCTCACTGCACTCGGCGTTGCTCGGCCAGGGCATAAAGAACTTCCGACAATTAGCCTTTTCGATAGGAACGCCTCGGGTGGAGCCATCGGCCGCTCAGTATCTCGAATTGGCGACCCAGATTTTTGGTGCAAGTCCTTCGCTTGGAAGTGTGGCAATGTTGCGTGACTTACACTTTGAATCAACGACCTACGTGATACAGGTGTTCAAAGAGCACGCAACGTCAGATGGCACAGACACCCAGGTTAAGAGATTGCCCATGCCCGAGCGCGCGGCACGGGCAGAAGAGCAGCAGCGTCGTTTGAGCGGTGTGTCAATTTCGGGGGAGCTGCAGCCCTCATATAGCCTCATCGACAAGTGCAATACCATGTATGAATCAGGAGCACTAGTGTGGCTGGCACCTTCCGTTTGCAGCAAGAGGGATGCTGAGGTGTCCTTGGGTGTCAACGAGAAATCTCCTGTTGTTCATCTGGAAAAGGATTCATTGAAGCTTCCCGCCCCCGCGCAGAAGATCCCAGTGGACTTGTCAAGTCCACTGTGCTTGCAGTGGGCGTGGCAGAGAAGAGGCATTGCCTTGGATCAGTGCAGTCTCCTCACGTGGAAGGTTCACGAAGAATACGTTCATCGTTTGTTGAACTTCTTGACTGCGCCTGTGCCAGCAGGTTGGATGCAGGTGAAGCCCGAGCAACTTATTCGTGCTGATAAGGAAGTGTGGACTTTGTTGGCCAGAGAAGTTCCTCCTCCCTATAAAACCTTGGCCGACGGCACTAAGCCTTTGGATCAACCTTTCAAGGCGATGGCTTTCGACCAGCGCATCCAGGTGTGGTTATCCCCAGTCTTGAATACTGGGGCCCCGACTGGGGGATCGGGCTCGCCCACGGATGCGGTTATTCCGGAGATTCCCCCGCATGTGCCGAAGCCGCCCAGGAAGCCTAAACTTCGCAAGAAAGCCAGCAAGCTGATGCCAGATGCTTTTAAGAAGTGCCCTCGGTTCGCCAAGGGCCCAACATGTTGGGCATTTAATGGCGAAGGCTGCTCAGCAGAGACTAAGGTCGTGGATGGTTTGCCGTGCTGCGCCAAAGGATTCCATGTGTGCATTCAGTGTCATAAGCCAAATCACAGCTTCAGCACCTGCAGGGCGAAGCCCAAATCGTGACTATCCGAAGGTCTTGGGTCGGTGGATCCGGGCCCCGAGCCTGCGCCAACTGACCCACCGATCAGTGCGAGATCTGTTGATGCCTCTTTGAAGAAGAGGAAATCGCCGAATTTGTCAGTTGTTGAAGAACTGGTTGCATCTTTACAGAACAAAACTCTGCACAGGTGCGACATCCTTGAGTTATTTGACGCCTTGCCCAAGTCGCCTTCTCCTAGACAGTCGGAAGGCCGGGACGAGGCCTTTTCAGCTGGGAGCTTTGTTCATGGAGGAGTCGTTGGATTGCGCAACAACACCAGTGTTTTCGCTGGTGCCGTTGAGTTGATATGCAAGTTTTTGCGCGGGCTGATGAAGGGAGCACCCTTCACTTCCGTCACGATCTTGGATCAATGTATGAGCAGCCTGCATGTCGATTCAAGCAACGAGCCAGAAAGTTGGAACTTGATAGTGCCCCTTTCTGATTTCAGTGGGGGTAACCTGTGGTATGAATGTGAGCAAGGCCGCGAGCCCTGCCCGTCCGACCCGACTTTGCTTGGAAAGATTTTGCGCTTAGAGCTGGGGCCTCAGTGGCTGTCCGCTACTAGGCACAAACATTGTACCTTGCCTTGGACTGGGCGAAGGTGCGTTCTGGTGGCCTTTTGCACTAGATTCTGTGATCACTTGAAGCCTTCTGAAGTTTGCAAATTGCGGGATTTAGGTTTTAACTTGGGTTCCTGCATTTCGACGGGCGAAGCTCCTCCCCTCGGAGCTCCACTCGCAAGCCCCAAGCTTCAGGATATGCTAGTGGTTGAGCTTTGTTGCGGCATAGGCGGCATCAGTAAAGCCTGCGGTGATGCAGGATTCCAGACCTTGGCACTTGATGTGAGGCCCTCGTCAGCAGCGGCGGTGCTTCAGCCCGATGCAGTCAGTAGCTTGTCACAAATGCTATGCCTTGAAGCGGAGCGCATTGCACTGGTGTGGGCCCGGGTCCCCTCGAGCACCACTAATCGAGTTAAGGAAAAACCGCTGTCTCGCCTTGCAAAAGCCGCCTTCCCTGCCCCAAAGCCTCTTAGGACGCTGGAATCTCCAGATGGAGTGCCAGGTTTGAGGGGACTTGATAAAGGGAAGCTTGAGACTGCTAATTTGCTCCGTTTGCGATCTTCTCACTAAAGCTTCGAAGCAAGGAATCAGGTGTGTAATCGAGAACCCCACTCACTCAGTCTTCTGGGCCACTTCCTGGTTTCGCTCGCTTGAAGTCTTGAGCCCTCAGTCGCATTGGGTTTCTTTTCCTTTGTGTGCTCATGGTGGAGACCGACCGCGCCAGGTCTCCCTTTGGGCATCCTCTGATTTTCTCACGCCTTTGATCGCATCTTGCCCGGGCGTGTCGGCTCAACACAATCATGCAGCCTGGAAGCCCGGGTTCCAGCAAGGCAAATCGACTTCTGTTTCGCCTCTTGTGTACCCCGCTCTTTTGTGCCAAAGAATTGCGGGTTTGCCCAGGCAGGTTGTCCTGAAAGCCGGGGCCCTCGACGATACATCATTGCCAGCCGCTGTTCAAAGGCAGGAACTGTCGACCGCTAGGATGGTCCTTGGCCTTCAACCTCGCAATGCTCCGTGCCTTCTGCCGGAGTTTGGCTACTTCGTTCATGTCATTCAACCTGTCGAGGCTGGGCAACCACTTCGGGATGCCCCACCGAAAGGGCACCTTTCACCTTTTATCTCGGCATCTCTCTACGTGGGGGGAGGTGCAGGCCGAGAAAAGGGTGCCGAATGTTGGTGTGCAGTGCAAGGTGCTTGATCCCCAGCCGCATACAAAAGTGGAGGTCTTCAGATTTGGGATACCTCTACCTCCCGAAAAGTTCTTGCAGAGAGCTGTCGACGTGGGGCACCCACATGCCTTCGCTTCTAGCTTGGAGCCCACCTTGAAAGAAGTTGTCGATGAAAACATTTCGGGTGATGAGGTTGTCTTGTCTAAAAAGAGATTGAAGTTTGTAGCAAAATGGACGGCCAGGGCTAAGGAGCTGGACAGCCGAGAAGCCGAGTTGCAACAGTCTCTCCCGGAGCATGTCAGAAAAATTCTGAAGGGGAAGCGGTTGCTTCTCTGGAAAGAGATGATCGAAGAATATGACCTTCCGGATAAAGGCTTGATTGACGACATGATGGCTGGTTTTCCCCTCTGCGGTTGGCTGCCAAAGAGCGATGCATGTCCTGCTCAGGTCCGCAGGCCAGAGTTTTCTGGTGACACGTTGAAGCATCTTGCTGATGGTCTGAATAAGACGACTCGTGAGAAGATGGCTCAGCGACAGAGCCCAGAGCTTGAAAAGGCAACGTGGGACGAAACTTTGGCAGAGTTGCAGAGCGAGTGGATTTGGCAAGCACCTGACAATGAGGTGGGTGTGAAGGTCTACGCCAGAAGATTTGGGTTGGATCAACATGGCAAGATCAGGGTGATAGATGATTGTAGTTGCTGTGGTTTGAATGCCACCGTGGGCGTAGTTGAGAGGCTTGTCGTACACGCCATTGACCGAATGGCGTCCATGCTTGCCTATGCCCTGGAGGTGTCCAGGGATGCAAGCGCGTCGTTGTGTGGACGAACGTACGACTTAAAATCCGCTTATAAGCAGTTTCGTGTATCTTGCAAGGACAGGGATTTGTTGCGCATGTTGGTCAACTGCCCACACCGCGCCTCTCCCGTGTCAGTAGGGGTGAACTCTCTACCGTTCGGAGCGATTGGCTCCGTCGCTGCTTTTCTCAGAATCAGCAACTCCATATGGATGATTGGGACCATGGCTCTCCGAGTGCTATGGACCGCGTATTTTGACGTTTACAGCGTGGTTTCAAAAGTTCACCTTAAGAAAAACACAGCCTTTGCCATAGAATCCCTTTTCAAGTTGTTAGGCCTAACATACGCCCGAGAAGGGAAGAAGGCTCCCGAGTTTGCGCCCGTCTTTAACATGCTAGGCTTGGTTGTAGACGTAAGCCAGTTTGGGCAGCATCGCGTGAGCATTGGACACACTGAGAAGCGTGTGGCAGAGCTGCACGAATCTCTTGATCAGGTGTTGACCGATCGCTGCTTGAGTGCCAAACTTTCAGAAAGGTTAAGGGGACGAATGAACTTCTTTGAAGGTTTTTGTTTCGGACGTGGGCCAAATCAGGCCATGAGGTCTCTAGATCGTGCTGCGAGGTCAGGGTCGCTGCGACACAGCTTGTCTGCGGCTGCAGTGAAGGCCATAGGCGTTCTGAATCTGAAGGCCCGACTTGATTCGGCTGTGCCCCTAGTCCTCAGCCCGAAATCAAACAACACATGGCTTTTGTTTACGGATGGTGCTTTTGAGAGTGGCTCAGGCAGCGTGGGAGCCGTCTTGTACAACAACGCAGGCTGTGCAGTGGGGGCTTTCGGCTCCACCGTTCCCCAGACTCTCTTGAATAGGTTGCTGGCTTATTCTAAGAACCCTATTTACGAACTTGAGCTGCTTCCTGTGCTGTTGTCGCTTCGAGCATGGGGCCACCTTCTCAGGCAAGGGCAGGTCGTCTCTTACGTTGACAACGAAGCAGCAAAGTCATCGTTGATTAGGTCCTCTGGGGCTACCGAGGTGGCAGAGAACATCGTTGAAGCCATCAGGCTAATTGAAGATGGCCTACAAATTCGATGTTGGTTCTCTCGAGTTCCTTCAGCGAGCAATCCAGCAGATGACCCTAGCAGGTTGCACTTCGAGAAGATAGATCCTGCTATAATCCTCGATGCATCAGCAATGTTGTGGGATGTGCTGTCTGGCACGGGTTAACCGGGGTGTTTGACAGCGTGCCGGA